CTCACTGTCCACTGTAGTATCAGAAGACTGGAGGGTGGCAACTGTCATTCCCTTGTTCAAGAAAGGGAATAGGGATAATCCTGGAAATTATTGACCAGTAAGTCTTACTTCTGTGGGGGGCAAATTATTGGAAAGGATGCTGAGAGATAGTATTTATGGTTATTTGGAAAAGCACAGTTTGATTAGAAATAGTCAGCATGGCTTTGTGAGGGACAGGTCATACTCTCAAGCCTTACTGAATTCTTTGAAGATGTCACAAAACACATTGATGAAGGTAGAGCAGTGGATGAGGTGTATATGGATTTTAGCAATGCATTCGATAAGGTTTCACATGGTAGGCTCATTCAGAAAGTAAGAAGGCATGGGATTCAGGGAAATTTGGACGTCTGGATACAAAACTGGCTGTCCAATAGAAGACAAAAGGTGGTAGTAAATGGAAAATATTCAGCCTGGAGCTCGGTGACCAGTGGTGTTCCACAGGGATCTGTTCTGGGACCTCTGCTCTTTGTGATCTTTATAAATGACTTGGATGAGGAAGTGGAAGGGTGGGTTAGTAAGTTTGCTGATGACATGAAAGTTGGTGGAGTTGTGGACAGCGTGGAGGGCTGTTGTAGGTTGCAACGGGACATTGACAGGATGCAGAGCTGGGCAAAGAAGTGGCAGATGGAATTCAACCCAGAAAAAGTGTGAGGTGATTCATTTTGGAAGGTCGAATTTGAATGCATAATACAGGGTTAATGACAGGATTTTTGACAGTGTGGAGGAACAGAGGGATCTTCGGGTCCACGTCCATAGATCCCTCAAAGTTGCTACCCAAGTTGATACGGTTGTAAAGAAGGTGTATGGTGTGTTGGCTTTCATTGCCAAGGGAATTGAGTTTAAGAGCTGTGAGGTTATGCTGCAGCTCTATAAAACTCTGGTTAGACCACACTTGGAATATTATGTTCAGTTCTGGTCACCTCATTACAGGAAAGATGTAGAAACTTTAGATAGGGTACAGAGGAGATTTACCAGTATGCTGCCTGGACCAGAGGGGAGGTCTTATGAGGAAAGGTTGAGGGAGCTTGGGCTTTTTTCATTGGAGCGAAGAAGGATGAAAGGTGACTTGATAGAGGTTTACAAGATGATGAGAGGCATAGATAGAGTGGATAGTCAGAGACTTTTTCCCAGGGCAGAAATGACTATTACGAGGGGGCATAATTTTAAGGTGACTGGAGGAAGGTATAGGGGAGATGTCAGAGGTAGGTTCTTCATACAGAGAGTGGTGGGTGTGTGGAATGCACTGCCGTCAGCGGTAGTGGAGTCAGATACTTTAAAGCGACTCTTGGATAGGCACATGGAGGATAATAAAATGTAGGATATGCAGGGTAGATTGATCTTAGTAGGATAATAGGTCGGCACAACATCGTGGGCCAAAGGGCCTGGACTGTGCTGTACTGTTCTATGTTCTATAACACGAAACATTAACTCTATTTATTTGAAGCTGAGAAAATCTAAATTCAGTTGTAGAAGTTCCAGGAAATTGGTTGTGATCTTCTCAAAGTGATAAACTGAAGCCACAGTTAAATTAACCTTAATAAATGTGAAAAAGGGGATTCTATCTGACCTGAGTACTGTAAGGAGTGTTTTTGTGATTATTAGGACTGTATTTTACTGTGTTTTGAAATCTTTAAATGTTTTATATGTAAATAATTGGGTTTATTCTATTTTACCTTTGCCGCTTTTGCATAATAAACTTGTTTTTTGTTAAACCTGAATCTGCAGTACTGCATCTTTCCGCTTCAGTGAAAGACCACATTATAACCAAAAAAACTATCAAGCCAGATTTTAGTCTTGATCTTACTTGACCAGTAATAACATCAGCTGGAATCATAACACAGTGCTCTCGCAAAATGCCTTGGGAAATTTCATTTTGTTAAAGATGCAATTCAAACATAAGGTTTTTTATATGGCAGTTTAAAGAAACACAAAGGTATTGATTTGATTTCATTAAAAAGTAATGTATTTACAAGGTCTGCACATTATCTTGGACTTTGCAGTAACCGGCATATGCAACGATTTCCAAAATCACCACACTAATTCTGCTTAGGACAAGAATTTAGTTATATTTAACAATGACAAAAAATGTTAGAAAAACTCAGTATGTCTGGCAGAATCCATGGAGAGTCAGAGTTAACATTTTGAGTTCAATATGACTTCTTCAGAACTGGAAGTGGTTGGAAAATGTTGGCCTTTATACTTTTGACAGATATGGCCGAACAAGGGGAACAAATGATACGGAGACTCAGTGCAAAAGACAAAGGGGTTGCTAACAGAAGAATCATGAGCAGAACTGGTGAGAGAATAAACAAGGGGAGGATAAATGGAGTCAAGCTAGGAAGAAATAAGTTTAGGCTGACCTGATGGTTTAGGGTTAGGTCTACCAGGCTGTCATGTTTGTGGATTTTAAGAAAGAGGTAGAAGTGGCTGTGCATGGTTGCAGAACAATGAAGCAGGAAGCTGAGGAACGGAGGTCTTCAGGGAAGATGAAATCAGTGCCACTCCTTGAAATAACAACTTGATGTTCAATTATAAGGTCACGATCCAGTGCAGATAAGAGGAAGTGTCTGAGAGCCGGCATTCAATCTCTGCAAGGCAATAGTCAGCACACCAGCTGACAATGGCACCACCCTTATTGGCAAGTTTGATAATATAGTCAGCTTCAGAGAATGGGATGTAGCAAGTTCAAAGAGAGAGACAGATTAGTATGGGTGAGGGGAGCAGAGAAATTAAGGTGGCCAATTTCACATCAATAGTACTTGATGAAGACATTAAGTGCAAGTAAAAGGCCAGAATGAAGGATCCAGGTGGAAGCAAGTTTTAGAGGCGGTTAAAAGGGTCTGCTTGGCAGGGAGAGGTCTCCTGCTCAAAGAAGCAGTCAGGAGGCGAAAATGACAGAAGAGTGCAGCATCTTATTGTACCCAAAATTCACTAAGGTGTGGATGTAAAGTAAATCTTATGCTGAGCCCAGATTTATTCATCAGAGAGGGAAGGTCAGAGGGTATAGCGAATGCATGGCTTGAAGAAGGATGGAATCGGAGGGAAGGGGAGGAAGGAAGGGCCCAGGGGAGTATTGATACACTTGAGTTTTCGGAGCTTGTGTTCCTTACACCTGAAAATAAAAGAAACTTTCTTGTTAAAGCATCAAAGAATGAATGGAACTGTGGACCAAGACAGCTTTATGATAGTCTGAGATGGTGTTGATGGAGAGGTCAACAGTGTGCATATGATGGCACATGGCACTAATGAATGTGGATCTTATGTGCAACAGCAACTGTCTGAGGAATATTATATATATCTTCAAAATACCTGTAACCTCAATGGGTTCAAAACATGAAGGATGGAACTTCAGCTGGAGCCTGTGTCAGGTAAGACACAGCCAGAGACAGTCACTGAGGAAGGAGCTGTGACTGTAAGAAAGTAATGAAGGTAAACAAACCAAAGATTAAATTGGAAATTCTAGAAAGAGGGAGAACTTCTTCAAGGCAGGAATACCTGGAAGAGAAGTGGTAATGAATTAAATCAGACTGTAACTAAGTACTGCAATGCTGGAAATTTGCCAGACCTGCTGTTTCTCCTGCATTTTCTGAGCTCATTTCAGATTTCAACTGTTGACAGTATTTTGGTTATATTTGAATAATCAATATTTACATTCGAGTTCGGAAGAGTTAATTAAACAGAAGGTGGAGATCAAAATCCTTCAATGATGTTTTCATGCTCCCTTCCAAATTATTTAGCACAGGAAACAGGCATTGAACAACAAAACGAATTGGTTTGCTCATTGTGAAATCTAACCTTTTCTGTGCTCATCAAAGTAACTGCTGCTTACAAATTTAGTAAGTCTTAACATTCAACATGAACAAAATGCTTCAGCATGTGATCATTGTTCATTTTCACAACTCTGAAGCAGTTCACGGGCTGTATAGTTTTGGAATGGATTAGTTTACTGTTCCTGGAACAGATTAAAACCATTTTTTAAAAAAAAATGTATTGTATGTGAGACATTCTATTCAGGCCTGTGAGAGAAAACATTATATACAAAAAAGGGAACTGCACATTAACATCCCACCAGTAAAGGAGCTGATCGGTCAACAGTGTTCCAGTGAAGCCCAATGCAAGCTGGAGGAACGACACTTCATTTTCCACTTGGGGACCCTACAGCCCTCCGGACTCAATATTGAGTTCAATAATTTTAGGGCCTAAACTCTTCCATGTCCCAGCCCCCCACCCCATACACCAGGCCTTGTTACCACATAGCCTGCCACTACATACCCCCTGTTGTTAGTCACTAACAGTCCCCATTAACAACTATTCACCCTCCCAGCCTGATCATTAGCAACTCCTTTGTCTGTCCAACTGTTTTTCTCTCTCTTTGGGCTCTATCCTGTCGTTTACTCCCTACGCCACCCACCTCCCCATTTTCTGCATATAAACTGACGTTTTTTACCAGCCACCATCAGTTCTGAGGAAGGGTCATCGGACCCCAAAATGGTAACTCTGTTTTCTCCTTCACAGATGCTGCCAGACCTGCTGAGCTTTTCCAGCAACTTTGTTTTTGATCAGTCAACTTTTGTTTTCCTTGTAGTTTGAAAATTTTAGCTTAATACTATTTTATCTTTCATCCAATGTGCTACAATGTTGGGGGATCAACGGTGTTCTTTCCCCATCTCCACAGATTCTCCTTCATGTACCAGTCAGCAATACAATGAGAAAATTATTTTAAATGGGGTGGATGGAGACCTGTAGTATGTGGAGCTATTGTAGTGAAAAAGCTGTGCAGATGGTTCACTCATTACAGGTACTCCTGCGCTTCCAATTGAGAAGCATCAGAGCACAGGGTCATCCTCCCTCGGTTATTTACAGCAGGTAGCTTTGCTGGTTATTTATCATTGGGCTAAGCCGTCGAACTGAAAAGCTCGGTCCCCGGTGTGACTGCAGCTTCCCGCGGCCTCTCCGCTTACCACACACGGCGCAGGAAAGCGACTGGCGCAGGGAGGGCAGCAACCGACACAGGTCGGCCCGCACCCGCTCCACCTCGGCACCGCTCCTCGCCGACAGCAGCATCGCACATCGGCAGGCAGCGACGTAAACCTCAGTAGCGAAAACCGGATTCATCACCCCCCCTAAGCCTGAGGACAAAATGGACGGCTTCTTTGGGGCGAGAACCATGGGAGAAGTGACTTCCCGCCCCCCCATTCTGATTGGATCATCCTGAGACATCGCTAACCAATAAAGGAGGACACGGGACGGCCATCGCGGGACGATTGGTCTGCTGTGATGTCAATCTGGTGGAGGGCGGGAGCGACTCCGTTCAAACAACCCGTGTCTGTTAGTGATGAGGCGGCCATTTCAGTCACTTCGTAGGAGCTCAGCCAAGAGCAGGTGGATATTTTTTGATCAAAATGTAACGAGCGTTTCTTAGGTCTTAAGATAGCAATGAAGCCTTAATTGGAATATAAATAGTTTCCCTTCATGTCAGAAGTCGCACGACACCAGGTTATAGTCCAACAGAATTCACCAGAGAAGGCTGTTGGACTGTAACCTGGTATGGTGTGATTTCTGACTTTGTCCACCCCAGTCCAACACCGGCACCTCCACATCATGATTAGAAAATGCCCTTTTGTTGCAACTGATTGCTCGGTCCAGCTTCAATGACAATATTCCACTGTATCTTCAAAGTCTGATCATTTTGATTCCAAAGACTGGTGGAATAGCCAAGCTACCATCTTACCCTGAAAGCAAAAATGCTGGAAACACTCAGTTCTCCTATGAAACACTGTTTCAGGCCAGAGATTGTTTTTTTTTTCTTCAGAACACTGGTTGATGCAGAGCATTAATTCAACCAGGTTAATATAAAGGACATGCATGCTAGAAATAGTCAGCATTCTCGGGAAAAAAACCCAAATAAAAAGCAAAACGCTGAATTTTAAATAAAACCAACGTTTGAGAAACTCAACAGATCTGGCAACATTTGTGGTGAGAAACAGTTCCTAGAGTCCCATTAGACTCAAAGCCTTAACTCGTGTTTATTTCCATAGATGCTGCCAGACCTGCTGAGTTTCTGTAACATTTCTTGTTTTATTTCAGGTGAAAAGAGAAACTGTTGACATTTCAAGGTCACCTTTTGTCATAACTGGGAAATGTTAGTGATGGTGATGGGTTTCGTGCAAGAGGTGGGTAGGATAACAGCAAAAGAAAGTCCATCCATGCAGCAGAGATTGAAATGACCAAAGAGTTGGTCTTCCAAGGCTAAAAGGAATAGTGATGGGCCAAGAAAACAGAAAGAAACATAAGATGTGCTGATAGAAGGTGTGCTCCTGGTTGAAAGTAACAAAAAAAAACAAGCAAAGTAAATAAATTAGGGGTTAAAACATCTGAAAGAAGGATATTTTCCTGTTAAAGCAGTTTTCTTATATTTGTACATTTTTAAGAGCTTATATGTTTACTGTGCTTTTAAGAACTTCTAGTTGCCCAAGCCAATCATAACCATTAAAATACCTTTTAAGATGTAGTTGCTGCAGAAATGCAGGGAAAAACAGCCAGATTCCACACTGCGAGGTCTCAAGCAGCAATGAGTTGGAGAACCAGATTTATTTTTGTAACTTGACTGGTGCATGAATACCAGAAGATGGCAGGAACTTCCATACTTTGAAATAGTGTCATAGAATGTCAGCAACTACAGTAAGTCCTCGCTTAAAATTGTGGTTGTGTTTCTGAAAATACTTGAATCACAAGTTCCAGTAGGAATCAATGTTAAGTCAGAGTTAGGTTCCAGCCAATGTTCTCTGTGAGCTGCGTGGCTACTGCTGGGACACTCCACACACAACAATCAGTGAGCCAATGAATGACTTCTGCTTAGATGTAGGAGCGGGAGTAGACCATTCAGCTGACCAAATACACATTCAATGAAATCATCGGTCATTTGATAATCCTCAATTCCACTTTCCTGCCTTTTCTCCAATAAACCTTGATTTTCTTAGATTAAAAACCTGGCTATCTGAGCCTTGAATATACTTAACAACCCAGCCTCAATATCCCTCAGCAGTAAAGAATTCCACAGATTCTCAATCCTTTAAGAGAAGGAATTCCTCTTCTGTCGTAAATGGGTGACCCTTGATTCTGATTTTATGCCCTCTGATAATAGACTCCCACAAGGGTAAACAACTTAGCTGCATCTACCCAGTCAACTACCCTCAGAATCTTGTATGTTTCAATCAGGTCACTTATCATTCTTCTCAACTCGTGAGTACAGGCCCAACCTACTCAACCTCTCCTCATAAGTCAGTCGCTCCATACTGGAATTGGCCTAGTGAACCTTCTCTGGATTGCCTATGATGTCAATATATTGTTCATTGATAAGGGGCCCAAAGCTTCACAGTATTCGAGCTGTGGTTTTGACTAGTGCCTTATACAGTTTATTTTTTAGTTTTGCTTTATTGCCTGAAAAAAGTACAAGTTGAAATATTGTTCCATTCATGTGTAGTACAGCACATTTCAAGACTAAATAACTTGCAAAATAAAATGCATCACTATAGGTAAGTCATCATAATCCAGCTCTCATTATGGAGAGATAACTGGTACTGGTTTAACCTGAGGGTTACCATGCCTCACACAAGGGGGGAGGTTGAGAAGGAGAGTCCTTCATGGATGGTAACCTTAGTTGGTGCAGGAATTGAACCCATGCTGTTGGTAGCACTCTACATCTCAAACCAACCAAATGAGCTAACTGACCCCCAATGCATCACTAACAATAAAGGAAATAAAATAGAATAAATATTTTAAAAAGCCAGAGGAAAGCAAGGAGCCAGGTGAGGTAACTCCAGGAGATAATGATAAGCTGAAAATGTCAATGCCCTTCAAGGATTCAGGCCATTAAAAGAAATGCTCGAATGAAATGATATTAAGTGGTGAAACTTAAAAGCTGTATGGCACTGCAATACTCACTGCTGCTGCAGTTATATATCAGCCTAGATTTTGTGCTCAGGTATTTGAAATACAGCTTTCAGCCTTCTGACACAAGATGAATGTGTGCAAGACAGATATCAAATCAGGACCTCTGTTGGATCAGCTAACTTATTTTACGATAATAGACATAGAATAACACACAAGAGAAATCTTATCTGAAATGTAGGAGAGGTTAATTCATGTCAACAAAATAATTTAACTAGGATAACCAAATTTTTCAAAAGTCAAAACCCTGGAAACATTGAAAAGTCTTGAGAAGGTGGAGCTGTATGATGATTTACACATTATATGGTGTTGGGTAGAGCAGCTGAGGTAAATCATGTGAAGATATCTCCAGGAATATGACCAGCCACAGTTGAAAAAAGCATTAAAAATCATAATTTTTCTCCAATACTTATTCCGCTATTGCTAGCTGAGATTACATTGATGACTGGAGACTGGAAAATCAAAGTTGTTAACTTTTACTGTAGGGGGATAGCGTGTTCCAACAGTTATTTGCAATCTGCATACAAGATATCATAGATTGAGATTTTTGCAGTCAATTGACATTTTAAGGTCTGGTAACAATTTGAATGTATCCTTGAAGATATCAAGGATGTTATTAAACTGGAAAGGGTGCAGAAGAAATTTACAAGGATGTTGTTGCCAGAACTCAAGGGACAAAGTTATAGGGAGAGGTTGGACAAACTAGGATTTTATTCTTTAGAATGTAGGAGACTGAGGGGGGGATCTTATAGAAATGTATAAGATCATGATAGGCATGGGTGGGGTGAATGCACTCAGTTTTTTTCTCAGGGTTGGGGAATCGAAGACTAGAGGGCATCAGTTTAAGGTAAGAGGGAAAAGAATACATGGGAACCTGAGGGCAACCTTTTTACACAGAGGGTGGTATGCATATGGAATGAGCTGCCAGTAGAAGTGGTTGAGGTGGTTACATTAACAATATTTAAAAGGTATTTGGACGAATACATGGGTAGGAAAGGCTTAAAAAGATATGGGCCAAGTGCAGGGAAATTGAGTTAGCGTGGATGGACATTTTGGTCAGCATGGATCAGTTTGGGCTGAAGGGCCTGTCTCCGTGCTTTAAAGCTCCGTGCTCTATCACTCTATTCTATAACTAGTTGTCAATAACTACTGGAACACTGGTGACAGTTGACACTTTTTCAGTCTGGCTCAGAGCTTGTTCAGGCTCCTTTGAAATTTCTTCTCTGGACAAATCCTATAGTAATCATTTACAGATTTACAACTGCCATCTTTTAGAATGAAGAAATTTTGCACTGAAAAGGTTGAGAATATTTTTAACTTTGGTGTGATTCACTCTGCTTTTCTGTAGTGAAGGGGTTCATATTCTGCCGATATATTCCTGGAAAGTTGCAGATGCCACTTTGAACTGATTGCGAGTAATTGGAAGGTGTGGGGTGATAGTTTGTTGCTAGTCCCAGTCTCATTGGCTTAAATCTGCTCATTAACTGAGGTAATGCTGCTGGACCTTTTAACAAACACGAAGAATGAACATAGAACATAAAACTAGAACATTACAGTGCAGTACAGGCCCTTCGGCCCTCGATGTTGCGCTGACCTGTGAAACCAATCTGAAGCCCATCTAACCTAAACTATTCCATTATCATCCATATGTTTATCCAATGACCATTTAAATGCCCTTAAAGTTGCCGAGTCTACTACTTTTGCAGGCAGGGCATTCCATGCCTTTACTACTCTCTGAGTAAAGAACCTACACCTCTGACATCTGTCCTATATCTATCACCCCTCAATTTAAAGCTATGTCCCCTCGTGCTAGCCGTCACCATCCGAGGAAAAAGGCTCCCACTGTCCACCCTATCTAATCCTCTGATCATGCTGGAGAAACTCGGCTGATCTGGCAGTACCTGTGGAGAGTGTTAACTTTGAGTCTGGTATTATTTCAGAATTTGTAACATTCCATCATAAATTCAACAGAAATCTGCCAAAAAAGTGCTTTGAGAATGATTTTCTTCACAGGGCTAAAAATGGAAGTAGTGAAAGACTTCTTCAGTAAAAAAAAAATGAAAGAAACGCAGATGCTGTAAATCAAGAACAAAAACAGAAGTTGCTGGAAAAGCTCAGCA